TTATTTAGGTGTAAAGTTCTGTGCCAAGAAAAAGTGATCGACTCGGTGATATGATCGACTCGCTGATAAACCACGTTATAGTATTAGCTATAAACAATTTTATTTTAGTTATTATTTGAAAATCCCCCCTTCGAACTCCCTTGGAATTTTCAACTTTCCTCGCTTAGTACCTAGCTAGTACTAGCTAGTACTAGGTAGTACCTAGTACTTAGTCGGACCGGTCGGAATAATGCCTAGGCGCGCTACGGGGCTTGGTCTGGTTATCGGGAACTTAGTTTAGGATACATTTACTAGCGTTTTAAGCTAAATTACATAACTATACGTACTAGCTATATATATCTAGCCATCTGTCGGTGTCTGTCTGTCTGTCGGTCGTGTAAGTCCCTTCCTCTTGTTCCTGTTCCTGTCCCTCGCTACTGTCCCTCCCTCCCTCCTATCCCTCGCTACGTAGGTACTTCTACTCGTAAGTACTATCTCCTACTCTCTCTTCCTCTACTTATAAGCCCCTATTCCTTTTACCTATACTACACCCCGCCCCTCTCCTTAGTAAGTAGTAGGTAAGTACGTAGACGTAGAATAACCGATCCGCCCTTCCTCTGCCTATCGCTTTGCGTAGAGGAAGGGCGGATCGGAGATAAAAAATAGTAAGGGGGGCATTTAAAACTACGCGGGAGCACCTAAATCAGGTGTTTTTCAGCCATTTTACACATATATTAGGTGTTCCCGTACTGTGTGGGTCGGTGTTTTAGGAGCACCTGATTCAGATGTTTTGCTCCCACTGGGAGTAGTTTCGACGATGATGTGGTCTGATATGATATAACAAGAAGCTAATTGCTCTACGGAATAGACACGCTCTCCACCCAAGATCTCACAAGGACTATGGACGACATAGACATTACCGACTCTGACGCCGCCTCCGACGAGGATATTGATACAGACACGGAGGATTTCAGCAGTGAAATGGAGGAAATGGAGGATTTCAGCAGTGGCGAAAGCCCTCTCAACGAACACCGCTACGTCAATATGTTTCGTACCTACTGATACAACCACAACGCACTTTCCAAGAAAGATCTCTTGCTAGTAGAGCGTCACCTCATCATAGCCGGCATCCAAGAATTCCTTCTCCCATACAATATGCCTCTCAACAACGCCCAAGAATTGGAGTTCCTCAGAACCTTGAAGCAAAGTGTTGATACGTATACACTTGGAGTGCGCTACTTCTTAGCGGTTAAGTGTGGTGACATGATTGGCATTCCCCTTCGTTACTCGTTCGAGGTGGATGGACAAGTTACGATAGAGGAGGAGTATAGCTATGATTGGGGATAATTCAAGGGTAGCAAGTCTAGATGGGTGGCGAGGATTTGGACTTTTGCGGAAGAGGTTTAGGAGGTTGAGATTGGTTTGTTGACGTGGCGGTTGGCGGGATTTTGTCAAGGAATTATATGTAGGGAGAAGCGGGATCTTTGATGAGTTGTTACGCTTTTGGGGATGTAGTTTACTGGTTGGAGGGAGGGGGGCTAGGTTACTACTTTGGGGTTATTCCTAGTTGTTTCTTTTGAGGAATGAGCATTTCATAAGCAGTAATGTCCATTTTCTTGACAGGGATTCAATGTGAGATGCAACTTTGTGACCTCTTTCTTTTTCGGATACTGATTCGCACTTCACAATATTATTTCTTACTCATGAATCTTTTTGAAAAAGCTTGTGCCACCCATCAACCCAAAATCATTTTCTGACAATCACTCAAGTCTCAGTTGTCCTACACTAGTCCGACAGAGCCGTGGTAATTTCTCAATACTTTCCTCATACAAACCATACAAAACAGTGTAAGAGAGGCAAGCACAATCCTGTACACGCCTGGGTTTTAAAAATATTACGCCAAAGATATCACATAACTAAATCAACTAAATCAATTATACGAATAGTTCATAATAATTCACACTTTTCACTCCTTATTAACCTAGGTAAAATAGAACCATGAATCTACTTGTGCTAGAATTTTTGCATAATAACCTTTAATACAGTATACAGAGCAATGACCAGTTTTCTTAGTAGCTCTGTCAACGAGTGTGTCATGTTACATGATAAAGTATAATGAAGATAAGAGATTCGATAGGTCTCTAGTCATGTATAGGGGCTTACTTGATGGGTCTATTCGACTTTCTACAAGGGCGCGCGATGATATGAAACTACATGTTAGTTTGTTAGGAGAGTTATGATAATACGCCTAGGAAGAAGTACAATATTGCTAACACCCCTTGAAACTACTTGTAACATTGAAACTAATCAAGAAGGACCTGAAGTTACTCATGGATTTAGAAATTTCCTTCCTCAAGAAATGGCAGCAACATCGCACCACATTTCCTATAATCGATCGATCATCCTCCTGTGAAACGAATATAAGGAAAAGTAAAAAGTTTTACCGCAGGGCATGCTTCAAGACATGGCCGTGGCCTCTTCTATCATAAGCAGATTGAAGGCAGATAACAAGGTAGCTAGCTGGCTGAGTAACAGAAACACTAAAGCAAATATGCATTTAACAAATGTCTACTAACAGCCAAGCTGGTGCAGTCGATTTGAAGTTTTTGCTTCAAAGTATTCGCCTTCCACTGGTCCAATCAAAATCGCAGTTCCTAAAATAACCCCCCCGTCCATGCCAATTGTTGTCACATTGCATGGAAATTTATACATGGAGGAGCTTCTTCTAAGGCACCAAGACCTAAAATCTCTTGCAGGTGGCTTAGCTTAAACTTTTTCTTCGGCCTTTACAAATACCTTTGTAAATGACGTAGTAACCTCAAGAGTTCTAAAAACACTAGAAATGGTCTAAATGTAGTCGTGAAGATGTCCTGCTCCGTTTTTTTGATACCCCATATTTCCAGGAAGAAAACGCGGGCAATTCTCCACAGATGCACAACTTCAGATGAGTGCACGTGCTACCATGAGGCATTAGCCATGCGAATCACTTTCCAAGGAACTGAGCCCCAAATGATTATGGAGCGGATAGCCGACAGTTTCAAAGTGAGCACCAAAGTTGCTTGTATGGAATGCGAAGCATTCAAGTGCCGAACCGACTCAACCGACCAGTTCACCGGCATTCATGTTCTTGTACTTCGTATATCAAAATCAAAATTTGAAGCCAACGCTGGGCATTTTGAAGTCCATTCCATTCCGTTTATAAGATCCGATGAGATCATATCACATAACCTGGAACATAGCCCTGAAGTCTAGTTTGAAATATAAAGCTCTAATCTGGCCTTAGTAGTAAGAGTTAGTACCTAACAAACATTAACAGGATTAAGGATTTTGGATTCTTATTAATATTACGAATGAAACATTGCAACAGCGCCTCCACATGTGCCTCCAAGATAATTCAAGATAACTATAGAATAAAATGTTACTTGGTAGTAAGTCAAGAAGTAGCTGTGGGGCAGTTTAATAGTAATATCCATGCTCCTCAAACCTCTTCTCGTAGTGGTCAAAAGCTTGTTCTATATATCCCACGGAATCTCAAAGCCTGTTTGATACTTCGAAGTAGAAGGATTCCATGCAATTTGAAAGTAGTCTGAAGAGATTCCAGATGGAACAGAATTTTGGAATTCACTAGAATGTTATTCCACTTGTCAAACGTTGTATGAAGCAGAGGGAACAGTTAAGAACACCAATGGAGGCTTTCGTGTTACTTCTACTTCAACTTTGTTTTAGAACTTTGATGAAACCGCAGCTTTTGGCATCGTCATATACAACTCACAAGGGCTCGCCACATGGCAAAATTTTACCTATCGCCTGTTATCAGAAACCGCATTACGAGCTTCGGTCTGTTTCCAAATACGAAGTACGAGAAGTACGAGAAGGAGGATACACTTTCCATTACCACGTGGAGACTATACGGAATCGTTACTTGGTATTTCGGTTTTTGAGCTCACCCCAACAGGCTACGGAGTATGGAAAGCCAGACAAGGTTTTCCAGTTTGAATCGGTACATTTCCCTATTGAGCCTCAAGGAGAAAGATCACAACTCCACTGGCAAGGCTGTGGCGTGGCTCGATTACCTTTACTTTGTACCGATACTACCGTACTGTAAAACTTAATCTCTGTATTATAGTCGGTGAGAAAGGTGGACTAACGGTAGTAACGAAAGACTTTACGACACACATACGCTGATCGCAGAGAACAACACGACTTTTACGATTATACGACTTCAATGGCCTTTAGCCCTCTAAACTCACTTCTACGCCCTGTTTTATCCCTGGCCATGGGCGAAATTCCGAAAAAGTCTGTCTCGCAGGCCTGCACTTTAACGCCGCTTTAGCTAAGGACCTGCTTCGTACGAGCGGAACTCGAAGCTATTCAGAACTCTACAAAGTAGAAGTTCGTGCCTAAGAAATTAGACAAACTACATAACCACCTTCTATTTTCATACCTAGGTAGCAATATAATAGTAGCCCTAATTTAGACGGCGTAGGTGTTAACGTACTTCACAATGAGTCCGGATTTATAAGCAGTCCGGATTTTTTACCCCACCATTGACCACCCTACACACTTTCAATCTACATAACTTACCCAATTATTGTTCAAATGTCTCGAAAAGAAGGTCAAATTGCTCTTGCAATCAGTGCATACAATAAGGGTCAATTTACAAGCTTAAAAGCAGCTTGTACAAGGTACGATGCGCCATATTCTACTACTTACGACCGCGTCAAGGGAGCTATTCCACAACGCGATTTCCGACCCCGAAACCAGAAACTCACCGACCTCGAGGAATCAGCACTTATACAATGGATGTTATCAATGGAAGCTAGAGGTCTGCCAGTACGGAAAGATTCGATACGCCAAATGGCCGATTTACTACTGGAAAAGCGAACTGGAGTAGGTCGAATTATTGTCGGAAAATGCTGGGTTGACAACTTTATAAAGCGCCACGACTCTTTACGGACGAAATACACTCGTAAATACGACTATAAGCGCGCAAAATGCGAGGATCCTACGATTATCCGAGATTGGTTTCGATTAGTACATAATATTGTTGCGAAATATGGTATACTAGCGGAGGATATATACAATTTCGACGAGACTGGCTTTCAGATGGGAGTAATTGCGACCGCAAAAGTTGTTACAGGGTCAGAATATACAGGACGGGCTATTCATATACAACCAGGGAATCGCGAATGGGTTACAGTTGTCGAATCAATTTGTGCAGATGGATGGGTGTTGCCTCCAATGGTTATATTTGAGGGCAAGGTGCATATATCGACTTGGTATACAGATCAATTACCAGCAGATTGGACAATTGCACTTAGTGATAAAGGGTGGACCAATGATTCCTTAGGTCTTAAGTGGCTTTCAGACGTATTTGAGAAATATACCAAGGACCGTGTAAAAGGAGTATATCGACTTTTAATCCTCGATGGCCATGGTAGTCATTCTACTCCCGAATTCGATCTTTTCTGTTCAGAACATAACATCATAACGCTTTGTATGCCACCGCACTCATCTCATCTTTTACAGCCATTAGATGTTAGTTGCTTTGCAGTTTTAAAGCGACTTTATGGACGAGGAGTCGAGGAGCTAGTACGAGCCGGCACATATCATATCGATAAACCAGACTTCCTTTCAATATATCGTGTAGCCCGTACAAGTACTATGGTCAAAAACACAATCTGTAATGGATTCGCAACTACTGGCCTTGTCCCGTACAACCCAGATCAAGTATTGAGTAAATTACATACTCAATTACATACGCCTACTCCTCCTTTACTTTCTCCAAACCTACTACCTTGGGTCCCTGAGACACCCCATAATACATATGAGGCAGATCAGCAAACCCAGACAATTAAAGCATCTATTAAACGACGTACAAACGTTCTCTCAAGCCCTACTGCTATTGCATTAGATCAATTGGTTAAAGGGTGTAAGATGGCTATGCAATCAGCTACGGTTTTGGCAGAGGAAAATCGACGTTTACGAGCTGAATCTGAACGTCAAAAGAAGAAGAAGACTGTGCGACGTCAATATATTGCTACTGGGGGTGTTCTTACAGGTCAGGAAGGGAGGGAACTTATTCAAAATAGTGATAATATGGTTTTGGATGAAGCTGTGGCCCCGCTAATTGAACCACGAATTCGTGCACCACGAACCTGTAGTATATGTAGATCACTAGCGCATACTGCTCCTAGATGCCCAGATCGAGAATAAGAAAGATAGTATAGTTTATATAAATAAATATTAAGTGGTTAAAGTTCTATGGTTTTTAAAAGTTGGATGGTGGGGTAAAAAATCCGGACTGCTTATAAATCCGGACTCCTTATGAAGTACGTTATTTCTAGCTTAATTACTAATACGTAGGCTGTTAAATAGCCTCTCTAATATAATTTCGTGATTCCTAGGTACAAATGTCTTATCCTTTGAGGTTATTCGCACTCTGGCAGGACATAAATTTACAATTTGCCCATGTTATACCCACTCTGTTCTAAAAAGCGCCGCTTTATCGCCAAGAGGCCACTGAAGTCGTATAATCGACTTTTACTACCCTTTCCCATGCAAAACTCACTCTGTCCATTACGAAGGACAATACCCTCGCCTCGCCTACTTTTACCCTAGTCTTATATGATTAAACTTTTATCTAGGATAACTATATACCAGATATAATTAGAACCTGAGATGAATGGTACTCTTCTCTCAAGATAGCCTGACGTAGTGGTTTAATAAGGCAGGAGTGAGGGATGTCAAAGAATGGTATTCGTAACTTTAAAGCACTTGAGTTGAGTGGCTTAGCTACTTTCAACTTCGTATATACCAAAAGCTAGCCAATTTCCTCTTTCACTTACACAAAAGAAATCGAACTGCCTCTATGTCTATGCACAACAATTTCTCTGGAAAGCAGCGTGCTAGCAGGGGCAGGGATGAGGGCAGCGAATTCGTCTTTCGTGGAATCCTGTTGGATATTGGAAGGCCTTTCACCAACAAAACCGGACTGAGGACATTCGAATCGTCTGTGTGGAGGCCGAGAGTTTGAAACCTCAAGTGGGGTGGGTGACATCAAGAAATTCCCAAAACCCGGTCTCGAAAAAAACCACTGTTTGAGCTATCGTAATGTTAAAGTCGAGGTTTAGGGGCGTTGTCTAATGGACGAAACCCGTTGTTGGATATGGAACCTAGAAGCGATGATGTTCGGGAAAGGAGGAAAAACGATTCTCGAGTCATAAAGGGTGTCTAGTCAAGCCAAATGACCAGTGTCTGCATGTTCCTTCAAATTGCCCTGTAGAGTTTTGGCTGCGATCTGGCAAAGTATTCAAACCCATCTGTACAAGCCTCGGCACTGAACAAAGACCTAAGGATAGAGATAGATGCTCCAAGAGAGGCTAGTGCAAAAGTCTCGGATCTCATTTAGAATTTAGAGTTTGCAAGTATGCGTGATCAATTCGTCTACCGGTAAGCTTTTTCTTGAACCTGGTAAACTCCATATTCTGAATTCTGGTTTGTACAAGTACATCTAGCCTGTTCTTGTTTCCAGTTGATGAAAAGGTCGAGAAGGTGCTTTGGGGATAACAGCCGGCATGTCCTTCCTCTGCGCTGTCTCAAGAGCGAACCGGCTATTAAACCGACCAGTCTTTTTGGCAGGCCTGGAAGCCAGCTTACGGAGTAGACATCACTAGAGCAGCTGGTCTACTGATTTGATTCACCAGCCGACTTCCTGGGGAAAAAACGGTACGATCCGCCCCGCATTCGAAGGCAAATGGCATTATCGTAATTTAGTGCTTCGCCCTAGTAAATTTACTTCAAAGTAAATATAACTTTTACGAGGTTTTTACCATGTCCTCCACTGGATCTATACCAAGAAACTTACAATTGACACGCCTGGGACGAAGTAGCTATGCGCCTGGTTCAAGATCTCGTATCCATTTGGGACAAGACTATGTTCGCAAGTGATCTACTTCGTACGGACGACGACATTGTGGCCATACAGCGCGGCGCATCAATTTTTCACCTGGCAAGTTTCAAAATAGATGATCCTTTATGGAAAATAAATGGAGTGCCGAGTATCTGCGCAAAAAAAAAAGCTTACATCGCCGACAAGTACCGTGGAGTTTGGATTCAATCTTTTCTTAATCCTCCACACCATCTCAAACCTGTCATATTGCATCCGTTCATCCGAAGTTGGTTGCTGGACAACGTGTATGTTGTACCAAGGCTGAGGTCTTTCTTCTCGGGTAAACTTGTAGTACGGAGTCCACCCTCTTCAAGTTTGAACGGCTATGTGGATGGAAAGGCACCTTTAAGAAGAACCGGTCATAAATAGACCGTGCAATTTTGCTTATCAAACGGCTAAGCCCGATAACAACAGGCGATGTCCTGGCGTTATTCGAACGAACATGTGGGGTCTTGAGATAAAGTGGGATCTTCACGGAGGCATGGACACTCCCTGAAAGGGGCAAACTTTATTGTGAGCCCCATCTGGCATTCTGTAAGTCATCATCCAAAGACCAGGAATAGTCCGATCAGATTTTACGATGTATATAATGTTTGTGTCTCGCTGAGGGTTTCTGGGTACCTTTTTTGGGCTTCTTACCTTCTATTTCCTGTTTTTCGTCATTCAATTATTGACATTCTTGTCACTCACTCGTTTGATTAAACCTCTACATTCTTTTTTTACTCATTTCAAATTCCGTTTCGCCATTATTCTCTACCGTTCCACTTACTATGGTTTCTTCAATTATTCGGGTGGTACGAAGAATTTAGGCTCCTTTACTTATTAAAACTAACACAAAACTTAGGCGGCCGCCACAATGTTACTGCCTTCTCTGGCTTTGACACAGGCAACAGGCTTTAAAACCGTTGGTAGTTCTGGAGTTGCAGCCCAGATGATTTTCGTGCCACCAAGAACGAATACAGTTGTTTTCCTGGATAACTATCACGCAAACTACGGACTTGGTGCGGATTTAAAAACCGGAGCACACTCCCCAAATGCTTGGAAGTATGAGGGTTCTGAGATGGCAGTCTTTGGATCCGAGTATAATCTCGCTAACAACACTGTGCGAGCGCTGAGGCCAAAATCAAACACGTTTTGCTCAGCTGGGGCTTTCTTTCCTAATGGCACTATGCTAAACTTATCTGGTGCCGAGGCAGACTGGGAGGGTGTTGGCGTGGAAGAGGGTTTCGATAAGATGAGGATTTTCCCTCCAGGTCCATGTGAGAAAGACGTTTGTACTGCTGATTGGGTGGAGTTGGCAACGCCTTTACAATCGAAGCGCTGGTATCCTACTTCTATCACCATGGTACGTGTATTTTCTTCCACCGGGTAAGAATGGAAAAGACTGTTAAGCGAGAACGCTAACATACTATTGTTTTGCAGACTGATGGTAGCATTCTTGTTGTCGGTGGCTCCAACAAAGGTGGGTTGGTACTAAACGAAGCTTCTATCAATGTACCAACCTACGAAATCATGTAAGCAAAACAAAAAAACAGCATTTTTGTCCCAAAACTCCAAACTAACGATAAATCCAGCCATGTCGATGGGCGCCAACCCAAAGCCCCGGTTACTCTCCCAATCCTCGAATTCACGGATGCGGAAAACCTAGACCCAGGAAAATCTTACAACCTCTACCCCATTCTTCACACACTTCCAAATGGTGAGGGCAAAGACTTAGTTTTCACTATTGCCGGAAACCGAACCGTCGTCTGGGACTATGCAAACGATACTCTTGTCAAAGCACTACCAGACACACCAATGCAACCGCGTACTTTCCCTTCTTCTGCAACTTCGGTTTTGCTACCTCTTCTAGCTCCAGACTATGAGCCCACAGTTTTGGTCTGTGGAGGATCAAGTGGAGATATGCCCGCGCCAAAAGCACTGGATGATTGCTGGAGAATTTCTCCAAACAGTGTCAAGCCAGAATGGGTTGCAGATGATGTTATGCCTAACGGGGCTCAAACTATGACGGTAAGGCGATATTTGAAGTGGGTTATCTTAGGACTCGTACTGACTTGGAGACAGGATGCTATTGCCCTCCCAGACGGAACTTTCCTCTTCATTAACGGTGCTCACACTGGTTCTGCTGGTGGATTCCAAGCAGATGATCCGGTCCTTGCACCCATGATATACGACCCAAATGCCCCAGCGGGTAAACGATTCACGAACATGCCACCAACCACTATTCCACGAATGTACCACTCTGTCGCCACTCTGCTTCCCTCAGTATGTTCCCTCTCCGTTTTCACTCCGGTGTTTCATATCCTCACAATCTAACAACCACACAGGGAGAAGTGCTCGTAGCAGGCTCCAACCCAGCTGTCATGTATACCGCCGATGGAAAGGTTGGTGGAGGTTGGCCAAAATTCCAGAACAATGGTAAGACCTGCGCCCTAGAGCAACAACAACGTAAAGAGTCTGCTTTCCCCCTCGAATACCGCGTCGAGATATTCACTCCTCCCTACCTCAAAGATGTCAACACTCGTGGTCGCCCCCAGATTACCGCTGTTCCAGAGACTATTGCGTATGGCGCCAAGTTTACAATTTCCGGCAAGTTGAAGGGAGTCGAGAGAATGAGTGGCACGATCGGTATTACTTTGATGTCACAGGGATTCAATACACATTCCATGTCTATGGGACAAAGAGTTGTGATGCTTGAATTTAAGGCTGTAGCTGACAGCTATGACTTCACCGTCACTGCACCAAGAGATGCCAGTGTGATGCCACCAGGTATGTTTACGACGTTCCCCGTTGATATGCAGTCAATTTTTGCTAATCGTGAACTTAGGGATATATCTACTTTTTGTGACACAAGAGGGTGTGCCATCTGAGGGAAGTTGGATCAATCTCGCATGAGATAGAACTTAAGCCAAATGAATCAATGAAGAACAACGGTGAATTTTAACGAGCATTTGTGTTTTAAGCGATAGAAAATTGTTCAATACCATGGGTCAATGTACCAAAACCAGAAGGAGAGACATCCATTCATATTACCAGTGATACAGAATCTTTCTCAAATGCCATTCTGCGATGGGAATCACGTTGGACCGGATCTGTATAGAGAGTTGGCGCATCGATTGATGTTGTGGGTGTTGATATCATGTGACAGAACCCCTTTCAATTATTAAGGGAATACCTACCTCCGCTGATTCACCTTTAGCTGTGCATCTCTGTTGTTAGAGGACTTTCTTACAGCCACACACATTTGGAACGGGTAACTCCTCCTTCTTTCCACAAACCTCTACCAACTCACCCAACCTGTTCCCAAATTCCATTCCATCTCCATCCTGTTACACTACACACCACCAACCATCACCACCACCCTAAAAACCACAACAGCAAACCACCAAAAACCCACACAAACCCCCACAATGTCCCCCTGTCCAACCTGCGTCGCCCTCCAAAAAGAGAAGAAAAAAATATTAGACAACCTCCAATCCCAACACACCCGCATCGCAGATCTCACCACCCCAATCCGCACGCGCAACCAAGAAATCAACAGGCTCAACGAGAGAATCCACAACCAAAGCAAGAAGATCAACGATCACGAAAAGACCCTGAAGACGCGCAAGGATAGGATTGCGGAGTTGGAGAAGGAGTGTGTCAGGCTTCGAAGGATCACTTATGGTGTTTGTGGAGCGATTTCGGTTGTGGTTGCGTCTCTTTGGTTGGTGGTTTTTGGTCGTTAAGGGGTTTCGCGATGGGAAGTGAGGGCGACGGGGTGAAGCTGGGGTGAATGATGGGGTATTTTGCGGATTTGTGGCTAAAAGTGACTTTTGCTTATAGCGGTTTTCTGATGGAGGGTAGGGATGATACCTGAACGTGGTATGGAAAGTGGCCGCAAAAGTCAGAGGCAGCGAAAATAGCAGAAGCCATGAATGATGACATGAGCTATGTAATCCTCTTATATTCACCTGTGACGCGTTCTTTATCATGATTTTGGCTCTTACCATTAACCGTCTGACTGGTCTTCTGTGTTTTCACTGATTTCTTCTCGTACCCGGGCGATTTTTGGACTTCCTATCTAACATCTGCTACTAGCGATGTAGATTTTACACCTTGGTAGTATACACAGAAGTGTCATGTCAATCGTAGCATTCTCACGTACCAAGTCTGCCTTTACTAAGTATTATCTACCATAGTTATATACTACTTACTATTTTAAGAACACTTCCCATGAATAGGGGGCGTAACTTGGGATATCGATTAACTACTAAAGTTAGTTTATAGATGTCTATAGAGTAGTAGAGTACGAGTTAGCGCCAATACCTGGATACAAGCTAAGAAAGAGACTTTACATATCATAACTCGGTTATTTCGTGAATGGAGAAATCTAAATATAAATAAATACTTCTTGTAGAGTGAGTATTTACACCATTACACCTCTCACCTTACCTCACCTCGCTACCTATATCTCTTGATAAAAGTAGCATCTTTGTGTAAGTACACTACACTACTACGAAACTTAGCAGATACGCTTTACTGTACTGTACTGTACCTCTCTGTATATGGGGTATACTTATCCTATAGCACTAGCACTGTAGGTATGTACTTTGTAAGTGTAAGTGTAAGTGTATAGGTATGAGGTATAGACTAAGGAGGTTAAGAAGGGGGTTAGGGTACTGTACTATATAGGTTATACGATGAGGATATATAGGTTTTGGTTGGTACCCGTATGTGGTTTTGGGGGGTTTGAGTGGATGGGGGGGATTAAATTAGGTAATCCCGCTCTACTTACGCGAGTAGCCTCCTAGTAAAGACAAGAACAACAAAAACCAAAACAGAAACACTAACCCAAAGTATGTATTAAACTCCACTCATCCCACTAGTCCCCCCACAAACCACTGATTACATAACTCCCTTCTTACGATATGATTCTCAACAAGTAGAGATATCCACCGCCGTACACGTATTCGCAAAATCCCCCGTGGACAACTTCGCAGCGCCCAGCGTCGGTCCAGCAGAGACCTGGAACACGGCTCCACTGCCCACCCGCGCATCGGGAAAACTCCCCGTGAATGATGACGCTTTGTAGATTTTGTAAGTCCCTAGATTCTTTTCGAAACTTAAGGTGCCGGTTGCGGAGACGACCTTGGATGCTTGGCTCCCGTCTTGTGGGGTGGTGTAGTAGGCTGCTACGATTGGAGGCGGGGTTGTGAGGGTGTTGTGGATCTGGGGGGTTAGTGGTGTTGCAGTTGGTAGAATTTGGAAGTCAAGGAAGGGGAATGAGGGCTTACTGCTACGCGCACCATCCAGCTTCCTGTTCCGCCTTGGTTGAGTTGTCGGTGGCTTTGTGAGGGGAGGATGAAGATGTTGGTGTTGATATCCCCTGTGTATGTCGCTCCGGGACTTGTGATGAGGAGGGACTTTACGGGCTCGGTGCCGATGATGTCGTGGAATTTGTAGTCTTTGATTGTGTTGAAGCCGATGTAGACTGGTTCTTGAGGGGGAATTGGTGGGCGGGAGTCGAAGAAGCCGGGGAGTTCAACTGGGGGTTGTATGTTAGCCGAAGAGATTTGGGAAGCGTGGTAGAGGTGACATACCTCCGATATCAGTCACCTTTTCTCCTAAATTCGAGCCAGTGGTCTTGACGTAGGTATAGCTGACGGTATCCGGAGGAGACGGCGCATGTGCGGAAATGGTCCCGTTGAAAACTAGGATGCCGGCAGAGGTAAGATCTAAACTACTTTGACGCATGATGAGTGGTCGGACTTGGAACGGGTCAGAGAGCTTGACAGCATCAGGGACGGTATTCATCATCTTATCGAAGATGTTGAAACAGGCGTTTTCAAAAGCTGATGGGGTCCTCATTGCTGTGACTGTCGCATTGTGATCAGAATTGAAAATGCGAAAGTCCGAGTTAAAGGTTTCGTTCGCCGTTACTAATGGTCCGCCTTTGCTTCCTGTGATATTGAGATATTCGTTGACGTTGTTTGCATCGAAGATACCAGGTGTAGTGTCGAAAGGAACACGACCGGATTCGCTAACTGTTGTTAGTGCTCATAACGTTGACGTTCATGGACATAATTAAATGCTTCTCTTCAGTTCCTTCAGCACCTATACCCTTGAAGTCAAAACCATGAACACCTGCAATAGAACGACCACACGCCACCGCCTGTATCATCTCGGTTTTGCTGAACCCCGCACGTTGGAACGCAGCAGTTGCGAAATCCAAGCTATCAGCTGGTTCAGGCACGCCAAAAGGACCAGTGCGTGTGGCATCAACTCGACCAGCTCGAAGTGCTAAGCATCGACTACTCGGAGCACATGTCGCCAGAGAATCTGCCAAGCCCTGGAGAAGATATCAATGGCAGAAGAAGAAGAGAGGCGGGAGACAGAACTTACAACACCGATGAGATCGGCCATGAACAAGTAGACGCTTGTGAATTGGTCGAACTGGAATGAATTCTAATTAGAGCAAAGCGGAAAAGATCACCGTACCGCTCTTCTTACCTGGCCAATTGAGACGTCGATGAAGATAGCGACATTTTCAGGTCGGCCGGACTCGAAGCCAATTGACGCATCAAGACCACTTGATACATCAGCCGAAGTAAACAACAAGCAGGAAAAAACATAACTCACCCCAACCCAGGACCCTCAATATTCTTGGTGATACAATCATGAAAAACAAGTCGCACCCATTCCGCCGACGTTTGCTGACCTTGGAAGGGCGAAGCGCCAAAGTTCGTGCTACAGGGTCTGACAAGACTGACCAGAGTGGCTGGTTGCCGTAGTGTGTCAATAGATCAGTACACGTTGATTTCCTGGTACTGTAGGGAAGGTGAGGAGGGAAGAGAGTACTTACTGTCATTCCATCTCCTCGATCTTTTCCCAGAGGGAGATGCCGTTTGTGTCGAGGACGGTTTTGGGGTCTAGTGCTTTGGCGAGGGAGGAGAGTAATAGGATGGTAGGGAGGAAATACATGGTTGGGATTGTGACGAGACGATATTGGGTGAAATGGTGTCTTGACACAAGAGGATCTTGAAGTGTGTAATGTTAGTTTGAAATGGAAGGGAAAGCTCAAATCTTGGGGGGAGAGAGCTTTCACATAATAAGTCGAAGGGCCAATTCTCCATGAGAATAGACCCATGTCGATATCACAACCCCAAATCTATGGCGCCAAACCCCGCCCACGCTCCTAACAGACACTACTCGGCTACTGAAAAGGGAGGTAACCTTACCATATTAGAAAGCCTGGCAAATGAAAAGAACTCATGGAAGTCATCAAGAAAACATCCTCCAAAACGAGCTCGGCTGACGCCATCGTAATGATTCTGACATGGTATTCAAGGCGGCAGCGATTGAAAGGACATTCTCAATTCATACCTCGGCCGTTCATGAAAGTCATCATGTAAGATGTGATTGGTGAGGAACTCACTACATGAGAACAGACGAGCCTCATGCTGATGTCAGGTCGGTTATTGGCTTGTAAGATGTTCTGAGAAAGCTTAAGTTAACTTGTTATCCATGTTGTATCCAGGGATGTTATGCGAGGGGTTTTCTTGGCATGGTTGGAAACGACAGAGTACGTTGGCTTTTTGGAATGAAGATGTGGTCGCTTGGAGGCTTTGAAGGAAATGGTAGGGTACTATATTATCGTAGTCGTTATAATCCGTGCTACGGCCTCATTTAGATGAACGGGTAATATTTATAAAAAACGAGGAGAGATCAATTCTATACAATACCAGAAGCCAATATAATCATTTTTAACAACTTACCAATAGGAATTAATACATTGCACCGTTCCTATTGTGTTTTCTCTGTGGCGTAATCAGAATACGAGCATCCATGCAATGCTCCTCAATAACGCCACATGGATCTTGGTTTCCTCTCCTGTATTGGGTCTTACGAAGCTGAACCCAGACTTCTGGGTTTTAGAAATTGTGTCTTGATGTAATTCTACACGGACTAAACCTTTTGTTAATTGAAGGCTCAGAGAGTGGAAAAAATAAGGAGTGGTGGGGGGGG